GTGAGCCCCCCTGACAGCACGATAAAAAGCCCCTCAGCGCTAGTTTGGCGGTCTAATGTTGTAGCCGGGCTTAACAAATAAACTAACACAAGAAATGTACGAGGTAGAAGTTGGCATCCTATTTGAATTCTCCGTTCCACCTTAAATGGTGCAGCAGTTACATTCTGGTGTGTCAGGCAGCAGAATGTAACTGCTGCACCATTTAAGGTGGAACGGAAAATTCGAATAAGATGCCAACTTCAGCTTTCGTCGGACGATTTAAACAGGTAGGTGGGATGGCAGACGAGCTCTGAAGCCAACCTGCAGTTTGTGTGGAACCTGATTTGTGAAATGTGTCCAAATTCAGTGCTAGCTGTTCTCCACAGAGCAAGTCCCCCTTGTTTTTGGGGAGGGAACCGATGGAACCGTTGGAGGCAGTTAGTGAACCAAACAGCAGCAACAAAAGGCTCGTTCACCTGCAGGATTAATGACATTAACGCTCTCCTGATTCGTTTATCAACTTATTTTTCCACTCACAGCTCCGCTGTCGGGGTCCCAAAGGGGGCTTAACTAGCGAGGAGAGAACTGGAATGCTATAAATGCTATAAGCAGCTCCTGTTTTTTGGCAGCTGTTGAAATGAGAGCCATTATCTTTTGTTTGCTAGAGAATGCAGAGGGCGAGATTTGGCTGCTGATCAGCCTGGCAGCAAATGAACTGGCCGAGAGGGATAAATATCTCCTAACTCTGCATCTTACCAAACAGATATCACCAGAAATTATGACTGATATTGATACTGACAGCACATTCTGTCCTCTGACAACAGTCACTGTAGCTATAATCACATTTATAACATGCTATGGATGATGAGCAGTTTGTATGCCAGCTTGTTTTAGACATAGTAGTATTGAGATTGCATTTAAAGGGTCAATATAATAATAATAATAATAATAATAATAATAATAATAATAAAATTAAAGAAGTGATATGTTAAAGTTTTTTAATGTGCCATCAACTCACCAGTAAACATATGGAAGTTATGCAACCAAAACAGCCATTATCGCTGTTTATGTGACGCCGCCTATTCAGCCTACAGCATTTTAGCCCCGCCCATTTACGCTGAAGTTATAAGGAGTGTTTCAGCCTACTGCTTATTGAAAGAGAGACACAGCCAATCAAAACAGAGCTAATTTAGATATATCACAAATGAGTTATGACCGATTTTCGTACGTAAAGCTACACAGTCTTAAATAATATTAATATTGGAGAACTGGGGGTGGAGTTATCCAGAAGTCTTTGCAGGTTTGATTTCTGTTGATTATTTTGTGGTTTTATTTTTCATTATTTCTCCTCATAAATCAAGCTTTTTGTGTTATAACATGATTCACGTGTCACGACCCTGGAAAGTCGGTAATTATCGACGTGTTATCAGTGATATGTTTGCCGATAGTGATAATTCCATGTGTTGTCAATATTGGCTGATATTATCCGCCAACTGATATATCAGACAGGCTCTGGGTTAAAGAATATTGACCAACTTAATGTTTTATTTAAAAAAGATTTAGACAGAACTCAAACATGGAACTGCTGTCTAAGATAATTCTTACACATCTCGCTGTTGTTGGAAGAAAACCTCATTTCCAAAATGGTAACTGTACAGGAGAAGGAAAAAACATACTTTACTCTTAATGTAAGTCAGTGGAACCAGATGTTTTCCCAAGTCATTTTGGGTCGTTTCTTTTGGTCCGTTCTTCATGAAATTTACACACAACGTAAAGGCCAAGAGGCGTTTTCAGATTGTCACAACCTCAAAATTGAAAAAAATGGAGATATGAGGTTTTCTTCCGACAGCAGCGATATACAAATGTCATACGTACATAAAAAATGCAGGATATGGGTCCTTAAAGGGAGCAAATCACCTGACTGTATTCAGACGGTCTATTTGAAGGCCGCACACAACAGGACCGCAGAGTAACATAGCCGTGTTATGTGCTTCAGTCATATGAATAAAGTACTTTTTCCAAAGCAAGTTGGCTCAAGGTAGATTTTTACAGCATGTAGTACATCACAGATTGATCTTATAACATGTTTAAACCTGCTGAGAACGAGCCAGCAGGCCAGTCGATCTCACACATCGTCCGTTCCAGCCATCTGAGCGTCTGAAGGTGGTGTAGATTTACTGTGCAGTGAATTTGATTGGTGGTGTGCACTATGAATGCTGACAGGAGACTTAACTGACCGCAGTAAATCTGGCCTTGTTATAACGGCTGTAGTTGTTTGGCTGGTTTGAGGAAAATGAAGCGGCAGGGCGGATTCCTGTTTGGAGTTGAGACGTGTCCAGGTGCTGCTCTCGGAGGGTTCATGAGCCTGTGAGTTAAGGATGGCTGATATGGTCTCATGATGATATGATGTTGCTGTCATGATAGATTTCGTCACCTTTCCAAACACTGTGGATACTGTCAGTGTTTAAGGGATGTGAGTGTTGTGGTTGATTTCAATGCTGATTTAAAGGAGCTAAAAATTGTATAGATTTTTTATTTTTTTTTGCAGGTTTGATTTCTGTTAATTACTTTGTTTCTCTTATTTTTGATAAGTTCCCCTGTAAATCAAGGGTTTTTCTTTATAACGTGTTTCTCATGCCACGACCCAAAAAAACAGTGATTATTGGCGCATTATCAGCGCTGTATTTGCAGATAGTGATAATCTGTGAGTTGTCAATATTGGCTGATATTATCAGCCAACCGATATATCGGACAGGCATTAATTTAGAGGACACTGACCAACTAAATGTTTTATTTAAAAAAGAATTAGACGAATTCCCACCTGGAACAACTGTCTAAGATTCCACTCTATTGTTACACACACTGTTTGAATGTAGCAGTGAAAGCATTGCTGAATTCACAGCTTTTAATAGCATTTTTTACATGTGGACTTATGTTTTTCTCTTGCCTCGTGTCTATTTTAACTTATCGAACCTCAGAGAAACTTAATACTGTGATACATTTCACTTCATTGAGTTATTTATATGATGGTGAGGTTGCACAAAGTATCAAGTGTATGTTTATAATCAATACTGCATTTTGGCTACATATTCAATACTCTTGACTTTTTGATACTTTCAGTTATTTGTTTAAATGAGCACCAGGTTCGCTACAGTCTTACCCTGATAAAAGGGGATTGGCTAAAAAAAATAAATGTTAATTAAGCTGTTAAAAATAAGCTTTTTTCCAGTAAACATTTGGTGTTCTGACTTTATTTTTTATTTTTAGTGTCGTTTGATATCGAGTACACTATTAGACACAAAGGTTCTGTGTAGGTAAATTTTTCATTTATCAAGGTACAAACAATGTAAATGATCCCTCAAAGGTACAACAGTGGCTTTAAGGTCTAATTGTGACCCTTAAATAAGTTTTTCCAGGTGAAAAGTATGTATTTTTATCTTTTCATAATCTAATGTTTTAAAACAGAACAATAAGATAAAAAGCCTGGAGACGAGACGGGGAGTGTGGAGTCAATACAACTTAGAAAATATAATTTCAGTGGATTATGGTACAGTTATATTCCCTGACTAAAGGTACTGAGACGTACCCTTGAGGGTCCCACCTCATTGACAAGAGGGGAACTGCCCCAGAGACAGTTTCGTATCTTTTTTTCTGAGAGTGTTTTGTAATACTTTGATATTATCATTGTGGTAGTAGGTATCGAGCATTGTGTCTGTGGTATCGGTATCAAAATCTAAATTCTAGTATCATGACAACCCTAGAATAAACCCACTGAGACCAAGCTGTTATTTACAGTGCAGCCCTGTAAGACATACAATAAAATATACAATAAAATAAGAATAAAAGAATATTTCAGTTAACATAAAGAACAAGTTTAAAACAGTTAAAAGTGTGTAAAGCAAATAAAACAATATTGTTCATTGTAGGGCAGGAAATTTTCTAACCAATATCATGACTGCAGTTAAAATTGCAGTTATTTTCTGTAAAATTAGGCCTGTTTTTTTGGCCAAGGACACCAGAATATCTACTTTTTGTGGCTTGAGGCTTGAGGAAAAGTATTGTGATAAATTTTTGCTGTTTTCTGTAACCGTGATTGTGGTTATAATGACTCTGCCATGGAACATTTCAGTTGTGAAAGATGCCGGCGTTCTTTTCGTCGCCATCTTCGCTACAAAAAAAGTTTTAATTATAAGAAAAATCCTTCGGTGATCACGCTTAAGTGGACTCAGTAACAGCTGGGCGCCAGGCTGCGCTTTGGATCCGGTTCAAATGTAACGTGCCTGTTCATTGTTTGCCGCGTCACCTGTACTCTCCTCGGGAGTTTACGAAGCAGAAACAGAACGCCTCGAACGCTTCTGCGGCGCCTGCTTGTTTTGGCTCAGGCCGTATTTAGAATATTGACGATTTGTACATATGCTTTCTCCTCCAGTGATTTTTCTCTAATAGCTTTCTCAGCTCTCAGTAATATGATTCTTTGGAAATCAATGCCATCACCTTTTATATACAAAACACTAAGGGCATCAAATTGGCCGCGAGCTGTGCTGTAACTAGCTCTAATTAGTTCACAGAGACAGTAAAACTGCTATTTTATATGAAATACAGAGGTGAAGCGCTGTAGTGTCTGGTGCAGTGATGGAGTTTAGGGATCATTTTTTGGGTTTTTGGTTTATGCCTAAGACCTGAAAGTGGAATAGAGCTACAACTGTCTCCTTTTACAACACATTGCATCAGGCCTTTAAACACCACGCCTGCTCCGGCCGTTCAGAACTGCTTCTGGTGTGTCTGTGTGTGTGTGTGTGTGTTATATTCACACATGTACTGCTTACTGGGGTGAAGTTAAAAATGGAAGAATGCATAAGGGAACTGGACTGTGCAACCAGTTTTAGGTTGTTTGTCTGTATTCTGGATTGTCTGATTCCTTTTTCTAGATATTCTAGTTCTAGGAAGCTCATTAAAGCAGTGAGCCACTCCAGGCCACGCATTACATTAATTTTATCCTAGGTATGGGTTTTAGCATTGTT